AGGCGGAATCTGCCCGCATGTCACGTGTATGGTACGGGGCTCGACAAACTCCGGAAGTGATAGATATCATTACGACTTACGACGGGCCATCTGATGAGCTGTGCCACCCGTTTCATGCTGGAGGAATAGCGAAAGCGAGGGTTAGTGACGGGCGCCGGTCGTGTCCCATGGTTGGTCCCGCGGCGGTCAAACAACAACAGCATGGACGCGCAAAGTGTCACAACAGTCCCCTCCCAAGCGGCTTGGCTGCCGTAGGGCTTCTGTGGAAGCCCTGTCAAAGCTGCAAGCCCATGGGTCAGATCGCTCAGCGGCGCAGCCTTCCACTGCCCGTTGCTTCTCCCTCGCCGCGGTTCACCACCCAGCGCTCACGGCGCAACACTGCCACTATCCATCGTGAGCAAGCAGCGCATGGCCTCCACGCACTTGCATGCCGCGCAACGCAACAAAGCCCACTAACCCTCTCTCGCAGACCGTTGTTTGTTTTATATATTAGCGAGGATGCGCGCTCTACGGAGGCCATCTATCCCAAGAGACCAACACACCTCTCAATGAGCCAAGACCTCAGACCGCCAACCACAGTTCATCTCCAAGCCTCCGTCCCAACCTCATCGTGCAGATTGAGCTGCAAAGGGTAGCGTAAGGCAGCATCGAGGCAACATCCCTCTACATGCAGAACTCCCCGATAACCCGCGGCATTCCCCCGATGGCCGCCCCACCGACGCAGATGCCCTTGCCCTTCTTTACCGAACACCTGCATACCGCATCCTACCTCTCGCCTGTGTCCCGATCCCATTATTCGACATTTTCCTGGACCTCAATGGCACAGTTCCACGCCCCCAATGATGGTGCGCAAATTTACTCATCGTCGTGCTTTCTTTTACATATTGGTGGTGGCTGTCGCGCGCTTCAATTGAGCCCAAGACTGTGCTAATCGTTGCATTTCCAGCCTCGCGACCACAGCCATCCAGTCCGCCGGCCAATGAGAGCAATCAATCACATGACTTGCTCTTCATCACGGGCAATACGCCCGCCGATTTCAAATCGAAGAAGAACATGACCAAGGTGCGCAAGAAGGCCATGGGCAGCTACCTCGAGAAAGAGAAGAAGCCAAGGGCGCGGGTGACGAGCGAGGACTCGACCGCATCGCCGACGAACATTCCCAGGGATCAGCTGGAAACTAGCACTGCCAAATCGAGAGTCGATGCGTTAATCGTCAAGCCGAGACAGTCGTTGTCGCCAACCCATTCCCAACTATCGAGTACCATTGACCACGCGCCGAGTCCTGATACTCGAATAGCCCGGGTGCGACAGTCAGTTGATAGCATATTGCCCTCTGCTCCCATAGTAATCCCCATGCGGACGAATATTCCGCTGATATATGACGAAACTGCGCCCGAGCCCTTTGCATCTATTGGCAAACCGTTAGATCCTTTCCGGACCATGTTTCAGGCCCATCATCCGCGCATCTCGGTCGAAGAGCTCAAGTTCCACTGTACGTATTACTGACTACCCCCTTTACCTAGGAGAAAAGACTGACATAACCAGGCTCCCGTGTCTTCGGTACCAGAGCAATGGGCCAGCATTGGATCCCAACCCTAGTCAAGTCGCCGCACGCATTTCTCAGCACCTTGTGTATCGCCTCTGCTCACTATGATGCCATCAATGGACGAGAAATCGAAAGTGTACAGACCGTCGCCTTGCGCCAGGAGGTCACACACCTCATAGGCCAAAACTTGGTAAACCCTGAGGCGCAGGTCGACGACTTCAACGTCATTGCACTGACGCAGTTGATTGCTGCTGGCATGATTTCTGGTGAGGACGCAGCCTTGACCTACCACGAATCGGGAATCGAAGCCATGATAAAGCAGCGCGGTGGTATCGATACGTTGGGCGTGGGCGGGCGGCTTGCTTCGACAATATCATGGGTGTCTCTGGAGTCTGCCATTCTTCGAGAAGCCAAACCTCGTTTGATGTACATCGAATACTCCACATCCAAATCAACAAAGACGTATCTAAATGTCGCCACGATACCTGAGTCCCCTCTGTGGTGTCCACGCAGCGACTTCCAGACTATCAAAAGGTCGTCTGGTTGCACTCCCCGGACGCTAGACATATTGAAAGACATACGCATGATGATGGATCTCTTCCTCCACGAAACGAGACACAGTCGCCAAAACACACCAACTCTCAAAAACTTGTACAAAAAGCTACAGCAATACCCGTCAGCCGCCGAACTCCAGGAATATAATGTCCTCACGGCCCATGACTGGAAATACGAGGCGATTCGCATGACCGCTATCCTGCAAGCTACAGCAATTGTTCAACGCATTCCCCTATCCGAAGCGCTGAGATTCGCTGCACTCGAGTACACATCAAAACCGCCCTCGCAGTCTTCCAAACACTCCTTCAACCGCCACGACTCTCCTCTACCAGACCTACCTACATCAAGCCCCACTTTCTCGCAAATCCCGACCCACGCCTCCACTATCTTCTTTCCACCTCCCCAGGCTCCCCTCCGCACCCCTCCTACCACCCTTCTCCTGCGCAGCCTCCGCACCGCGCTCGACAACTCCAACCTCTCGCACTGCTGGTCCGACATGGCGGGCGTGCTGCTCTGGATCGGGCTGACAGTCGGCGCGGCCACTCGCCGCAGCGACAAGGTGCTCAAGAGGTGGTTTGCCGCGCTCGCCGTCCGCGTCTCGATTATGCTGTGCTTTGAGCATCCGGAGCCCATGCATGCGACGTTGTTGGCTATGGGCGAGGTGGTCGAGAGTGTGAGGTGGGCGGAAGGGGAGGGAGAGCTGGCGATGAGGGGTGGTGATAGTGCGATGGGGGAGAGGGCGAGGGGCAAGAGACGGAGAGTGTAGGATAGGATAGGACTCGAGGGACGAGGTGAGTGCATGTATGGACGTAGGGGCTAGGAAAGGCTCGACTTCTCCACAGGCGTCTTTGGCTGGGCAATAGAAGACGGAGTGTTCTAGCGTGTTGGATCTTTTTCGGTTTGGTTGGCTGGTCATTCTTGTGATTCCCCAATTCCTTATGTATTATTATCCTCTTATCTATTCCAGTCATGGGAACGCATTTAGAGGACAACGCTACCTCTGTAAGGACATTTCACGGTTAGCAGAATAGTTTTGGAATACTACTTTGCAGGTCTTGCCGTGCAGGTGTCTGTCTTCATAGGATCTTGCGGGAAGGTAGTTAGGAGCTTACGGCTATGTATTAGTGAAAGGTGTGTGGTCACAATACAAAGGGAGCATTTGCCCCACTAAGCAATCGCGAGCAGTAAACCATCCCCCCTCATCTAGACCTTCCTGAACGAGGAAATTACCAAAGCCATAAAGAACACTGTGACGTGTGAAAGGTCTCACCTTGGAAATACTCTGTACGATTTCCACAGAAAAGAAAAGTGTAGTGGCGATAATTCACGTTTGCGACGCACCTGAACCCCGCGCATCTCCAGGGCTATCCCCCCCACCAGCTGACCCCCTAGTCTGACCCCTGACGTCACCGCCTACCTCAAAGCTCTTCTGCCTGCGATAACCGCGGAACGCACCAAACAACTCCCATCTGAAGATTCACAATCGCATAAATAGCCCTCTTCCACCCCATTCGGTCGCCATCTACCACAAGCTACCCCACCTGCCTACGATTCCACCACGATTCCACCACGAGCCAGAATCCAGCTCCCGCAGCACTTCCTACGGAAAACTTTCACATCCGAAACATCAAACAAGATGCCTCTCGTAGTCCCCGGCATCCAGTCCAACAGCGGATCGTCGAACAACGACTGGATGACCAAGCTCATGGGCAAGAAGCTTGGTGATTCGCACGATGAGATTGTGAGTATGATTTTACTCGGTCCACCCACCCACATCACCCTCTCACTGCCCGGCTCGCATAGATGCCCTCCCTCATCTCATCTCATCTCATTTCATCTCGATCGATTGATGGCTAACCACGCGCCCTATCACACAGACGTTCGCGAAGGAAGACCTCCCCAAAGAACACCGCGTGCTGCGGCCCGACAGCATGAAGACTATGGACCACAAGCCCGAGCGCATGAACATCCACGTTGATGATGATGGCACCGTCAAGGACATCAAGTTTGGCTAGACAACCTCTTCCTTACATGGCGGTCCTCATCGGGGGAGTTCTGAGGCAGGACAGTAATGACGAGGGGTTCATGATACAGATGGATGTTGGATCTTGTGCTATGAGGCATGGTTAGGATCAGGGCCCGAGCTAGGTATGGGTCATGATGTTTTCACTTCGTGGGGACCATGTATCCGTATGATCGATTTAATGGATGCACGTCCGCCCATGATCAGTGAAATCAAGACCTTACGTGTGCATTCTTGTAGTCCCATATGCATTATCCGCCGATTCTCCTGGTAGCCAGTTCAAACGGCTTTGTCTTCCGAGTACTGCGCTTTGTGCCTTTCGCTGGCTGCGGCATGTGAAGGATGTGCATTATTCCCCGAACGAGGCAATCTTTAAAGAAGATCCGTCAGTGCCCTGAAACAAGAAGCCAGGCAATCGAGTGACATGGTTATGTTCCTTTAGTGCGTAGACGATATCCGTGTAGTAGTTTTCGTAGAAGCACATACAGGCCCTGGCGAATTAGGTGTGGAGATATGCTCAGTCTCGACGCCTCCCATTGTCAATGTGAACCAGATCAACCCGTGCATGCAACATAACTTCCTTGTGTCTTCCCAAGAGCAATAATATCTTGTTGTAGGTGTTTGGTGTGTAAACACGTAGAATCTTCGCACTATACGAGCTTAGTGTCAGCGTGGGGTTCCCTGCCCTGCCCGCCCCCTGCCCCAAAATCAATCATGCCCCGCTCAATATTACTCCACTCCACCACTAGCTTAGCTTGCCGTGCAATACCTTGCCCCACCCCACTCTCACCTCGGCTACGTCCTCAGCCCACAATCGCTTCCACGCAGTGGATATATACTTACAATGGCGGAAAACCACTATCAATTCAAACAAATGGACAGATGGCCGAGCTGGTTATGGCGCCAGGTTAAGGACGCACCTTAGCATTTTCTCCTGGTCACGAAAGTGGCGTGGGTTCGAGTCCCACTCTGTTCAATCGTCTGCTCTGTTGAGTGGGTTTCAGGATATTTTTTTTGGTGGAAATGGGTTGGGTGTTGGGATGGTAACATTGCTATTACCACCGCGCCTCTGTTGGATAGCTATGTCGTCGTATGAGCGACTACGCTTTATTTTTGCTGCTATAATGCTTGTTATGTTGTTTTTTATCTACGGCTACTACCAAAAGCCTAGCTAGTATTACTATCGTCTCATTCTACAAAATTAGACTTGAGTTCTGTTCATCTACTTTTGGCTGCAGATATCTCCCCAAACACCCTATATTATCTACCTCTGTCTTACGAACCTACAACTCAACACTTGATCCACGGCACACTTATCGAATCGTCATATATCGGCAATACGTTCCTGTTGAGGCGATGCGGGTGTATAATGTAGATAAAGTTAAGTCAATCAATCTTGACTCAGCACTTCGCGCGACCTGTTGCACCCATCAACCTCCACCACCACCAATCACGATCCTCGACTCCGTTGTGTCTCCACTCCCGCAGTAGGACCGTGGAACAACGCGAATCAAAACAAGGCATTCATCCAGTCATGCTCTGTAGTGCTTCCTATCATTTTATGTTTCCTTGCGATAATGGTATGTTATCAGTACCAATCAGTGGGCTCTGGAAAAGTAACTGAGTCTTTGTTTTATTCCTAATGGTAAGCCTATCTAAGACAGAAGCTCTGACACCAACATTATTGAAAGTAGAAGTTGAGATGCAAGTAACTCTTCCTGTATACCACTGAGCGACTGCTACTGCGTAGAGCCTGTTCGGTGGCATTTCCTCTAGGCTGGAATCGCGTGGGTAGGCACGAAGATCGTTGGTGTGATATTTACATAGCCTGGCTCGCAATGCTTACTATGGGTAATCTAGGCAGGGGAAACGAGGCACAGTCAGTGTCTTTTCCCGTCAGGTCTGAGATCCAATTCCGTCGCTATCAACCTATGACGGTTTCCGGTGTTCTGCCACTCGCAAGTTGGTCGACAAGCCCCCAACCTCTAAAAACTCCATGTAAATGCCCCATAAAAAACACACAAGTTCCCAGCGTCCCCCTAATTCACAACCCTCTTCATAGTCGCCGCCTGCCTCGGCTCAATAAACAGCGCCTCGGCCTCCGTCAACACCACGGGCGTCTCCCCTTTACTCTCGTCAACTAGCGTCTCCAGCCGCCCCGTCACCCACGCTTTGCGGCCCTCGACCTTTGTCGTCTCGGCTCTCAGCACGACTACTTGACCAGCCATGACGGGTTTCTTGTACGTTATTTGCAGCGAAGCCGTCACAGCCACCTTGTTGGGCAGCGCGGGGAAACAGCACCGCCCCAGCCCCTCGTCCAGCAGCGTAGCCTGCAGTCCGCCGTGCACAATGCCCGGATGCCCGCACAGCCCCTGCCCCAGATACTGCAGCGACACGTAGTGCGAGCCGTCGGCCGTCGTGAACTGCAGCGGCGGCACGGCAATCTTGTCCGGGCCCAGCAGCGTGCCGCCCGTGAGGTTCTGCGCGCGCAGCTTCTGGGGGATTTTCAGGTGCGGCCGCGACGCTGTGTATTTCTCGTTGGCCAGGAGGCTGCGCGTGAGGGGGTGATCGAAGATCTGGCGCTCGATTGCTGCCACTTCGTCGCTCGAGGGGACGAACAGTGTGAGGGTTTCTTCGTCGGTGGGGGGGTTCACGACATCTAGGAGGGTGTCGACAGCGGGGGAGGCAGCCATGATTGCGCCGAGGGAGAAGGTGAGGAGCGTGAGAGCTAGAGCTATGGGCGCGCGGATATAGAGGGGGCGTTTTGGAGGTTGTTTCGCTGAGGATTCAGATTCGGGGGTGGATAGAGGTGGTGCTCGAGGATGTTTAGTCTTGATCTACTAGATATTTACAGGAAGAGCAAAGAAAACTTACCAGCGATATTCCTCGGAAGTTTCCAAAACCTCACTCTGTAGCAGCGCGAACCCGTCTCTTGAAGCTCCGGCGCAACCTGCCACCGCCTAGCGACCGGCCGTCCGGACCGGCGCACAATGCGAGTGGCTCTAACAGTTGCATACATATCCGGCTCACCTAACGTAAGTCCACTAGTTAGGCAGACGAGCGAAGACGCATTTGCTGCAGAAATTGGTGCGCTGAGGTCAGTTCTGTGGGCATGGGCGCTCGGCGGACGTTCGGCGATCGCGAAATGCCTCGGCTCAGCTGCGACGGGTTGGATCCGGGGCAGTTTATTTGGTGTGAAGTGCCGCCAAGAGGAAAGAACGGCAAGAGTGTTCGGCCGACGGGAGATTCAATTGCCCATGGTACTCCGTACGGTAGAGATGATAATTACGTAGAGGGCAGGAGTTCGAATACGTGGTGGCCAGCAGGCAGTGACCCCCTGAGTGTTTGTCATCATTAGTTGATATGCTCACGTCGTACTGGCAAACAACCTGAAGTTTGAAATATTCCGTTCATATCTTCAGCGTCCAGTATCCCTATCTTATTCTACACATCCACACTTCTCATGTTTCCACTCTTCCGAGCAGCAACTATAGCATACATACATGAGTGGGGAATCGAATCGTGTCACATCGAAGCTAATCCACAGCGTTCCGATCGTCCCCAACGCCCAATCCTTCTAGGAGCAACTACAGAAGAGAAATTATCCCTCGTGGGGCGATGATAGTAAGACAGAGACAATGGTAAGTTGCAAAGGTAGACCTTTTAAACGCCAAAAATGCCGACAGGTCGAGGTAGCCGACGATGGTTGCGGTGCAGAAATCGTGTTTTACAGATAAGGGATGGATGTATCGTGTTGCGGTATGATCGAACAACGGTGCTTCAGTAGTAGTCCCTGGCACTCTTCTGCAGTTCAATGAATCTCCATCCTCTCGTTTCCGGATTGTTCACGTCCTCGGGTATCCGCGTAACTCCAATGGCGTAAGTTACTTGCTGGACTTTGTCGTCCATTCCGGCGGCCAGATCGCCCGTTTTGGCGTTCTTGTACACGTGAACTTCTTGCGTCCTGCAGGTGAGGATGAAAACTGGTATCTCTCCAGGCTCCAGCAACCGAGCATTCAGTATATCGACATTCCGGATATCTACTATTCGTCCGTCTGATTTCAGACCAGCTGTCGTGTATTGCTGCATCAGTGCCGCATAGACCGAGTATTGTGCTGCCGACAACCAAAGCTTGAGTGTCTCGATATCGCCCTTAACATATGCGTCCAGCACTTCGGGGAGGGTGTACTCGCGCATCTCAGTCAAGAAAGGCTCGAGTTGAAAGTTTGGGTCCATTTCGCGGAACTTCTTGATGACCATGGCAGTCTCATTTTCGGCAAAGAAACCCGTAACGCGATCCGAGATACTGCGTGCAGTAGATATAAGAGGATTATCCGACTCCTTGTAAGCGGACTGCATGTTGAAGATTCCCCTCATAACGCGGGACGAGTCTTTAAAGTCCTTCCACATCTCCTTGTAGCGTGCATCTTTGTGTAGTGTAACGTTGGTCCCGGCACTAGCTGTCGTCAGTATAGCATGTAGAAAAAATAAGGAGAGCTCACTTGGGATCCTCATCCATCGGCCCTGTCGACTTCTGGCCGCCTGTTCTTTGCAACTCATTGAGTTCTCTCAGTTCCCTCCTCCGCCGGCGCTCATCCTTCTCGACCCAACCCCCATATCTAGACGAACTGCCGTCATCCACGGTCTCCTTGACAGCTTGGAAAGCCTTCGATTGGCGCACAGGTCGCGTGACATATTCAATCCCGGTACCCGTGACAGTCGCAACCTTACGTACGCCTTTCACCGGTGTAGTATCCCAAGTCCACGCCGCACCGTGGCCAATAGCTTTTCCTGTGGTCTTCAATGCCTCGGCAGTCTTGGTCGTCGCCGCATCCGTAACCTGACTATAAGTGTTTTTGGCCTTCTGGACGGCTGGATTTTGCGTGAAGTCGTTCACTCCCGCAGACAGTTGTTTTGTAGAGTCGTTCCATTCTTTCGAAGCCTGGAACTCAGTCTTGAGCGTCTCCGTGAAAACTTGCCAAGGTGTCTTGTCACCGTGTGGCGGTGGCGGAGCGTCCTTCTTCTTGCCCTCTTTCTGCTCCCCTTGTTCCTCTTCTCCAGTCTTCTTCTCTCCCGCTTCACCCTCTTTTCCGTCGGCCGGCTTCTCCTCTGCGGTGCCCTCTGGCGAGGCTGATGCCTTGGGATCTGTCTTGGGCTCCGGCGCCTGGTCTCTCACGTCCTCTGTCGGTTTCTTTTGCGCCTGCTGAGATAATGGAGACTGAGAAGAAAAGTGGCGGGCGTAGGTGGATGAGGCGCGGAGCACTATGTCCTGTGGTAGGAGATCACTCCGCAGGAAGTGGAAGGTGGAGGACGGGGGTTGAGATAGTGGGAGCCGTTGCAGATTTACTGATGGCCGCGACGTTAGAGATGCTGTTGTTAACCGTCTATATGCTGCTGCTCGACCGTGAACACTGGAAGGCGAAACGGCGAATGGCCGGAGGCTGCTCCATCTTGCCGCAGCAGAAACGGTTCCGGCGGTCGGTGGTCGCATGCTCTGTTCTATCAGTAGACACGACCGAGTAATCAGTCAGACGCAAAGAAGCTCGCGCCAAAGATGTGGAGTCGAGGTTTGGGCGCCGATGATCTGAGAAAGAGTGACGCCGCCGCCGCCGCCCTCGTCCATTTTCTTCCGATGCAGCACGGGCCACTCACCTTTTTCTGCCGCGTTCTGAGCACTCAATCGGACCAGCATTGGCGCATCGCCGCATCGCCTCTCACCGTGTCATTCCTATACATGGGCAGTCCCACAGCAATGCGCGCCTTCCGTTCTCTGCAACCTTCTATCTGCGCGTCATGCCGCTCGTCGCTGCCCAACCAGTCGCTGGCGCCCCTCCGACCCTTCTCGAGCTCCGTCCGCAGCCACGCCAGAGATGCATCCCCGCGTGGCAGCCTGGACCAAACCTTGGGCGCGGTGGCTCACAATTTCAAAAGAGCATCCGATGACTTCGGCAACATGATCCCACCATCCGGGAAATT